TATTATTTTGGTATGCTAATTGTATTTTTGCATTTTTAAAATATATATTTGCTTTAAACATGAATTGTTAAATTGTTAAACTTTATTGGGAAGCTGGAACACAGAACATTATTAAATCTTTTAGATAAGAATGCATTAACAGAGTTTAAAACAAGTGTCCAGGTTCATGACTATTCTTCTTTCACTTTATAAACTATAGTTTAGACCACTGTTTTTCACTTTTGGTGACTTTGTGTGCATTTCAACTCCCAGATTTCTCAGCCAGCATGGGAATTGAAGTCTAGGTAACATACGGTTACCAAAATTTAAAAACATTGGTCTAGAGTCCTCTTTGCCAATTTGGTATCAAATTCTGCTGCCCTGCTTGCTACCAGGTGTCATCCAGTTCTAACAGTGGTAATATTTGGAAGAAGTATTTAAAATATATACAGTTTTCGTTTCATCCTTGTTTTCTTTCTGGCTTCTTCTTCTGTTTGAATTCTGTATTCCTCTGATCACCCAAAAGCTAAAGTGGAAAGCTGGAGTAGCATTTTCTTAATTAGGAATATCAGGGTTTAATTTCTGAGGATATTTTCCCTACTCTCTATATATTTTTAAAGGAAAATACACAGAAAACCAGCATGCTGCTCCTTGTCAATCTGAAAGATGACATAGGTAAGGTGGTGACAAAAACGTAGGTGGAGCATCCAATGAAATGGATGTGGTTTAATTTAAACTGAACAATGAAGTAAAATGAGCTAGCATGTATATGTATGTATATGTATAGGTGTGTGTATGGGTGTGTGTGTATAAATATGCATGCTACCTCTTCATATTTACAGCTCATTGTCATCTTTGGAAGGGGACCTATGGGTTAACTCAGTTACCCATAGTTTTGGGGGCTGTGATCTTAGTTTAAAATCTTTGTTGTTGGCAGTGCATGCTGTCTGCAAATTGCAATCTCATGTTGCTGAGCAATTTTAATTTTTCTGTTTGAAAAACTCTGCATGGAAGCAGAGGAGCCTACATGGTTCAGAGTGGCCCATTTGGACATTTATTTTCTGCCCTGTTGCTGCCTCTGTTCTTTTTTTATTCAACCTATTTTTGATCTTCTTCAAAAGAGAGAAAGAAGAAAAAGAACGTTGATAGAAATGGACTGCTTTTTTTCCTTTTCAGCTCCCCTTACAGCTCCAAAGGAGACCCAAGAAGAAATTCCTCCTGAGAATGGTAAGTTGCTCCCCAAAACATCTATTATTCATTTTTAGAATAATTTTTATTTCTATACTTTTTGAATCCATAAGGATGGGTTTTTTTAGAATTCCACTGGCTAAATACATACCACATGCTAATCTGATTAGATTGGGATTGGGAAATTTGTGGTTCAGCATGCTGTGGAATTCTAGCTATTGAATTAACATGTTAGACCAACCAGACCATCACATGATGTAATAATATGATTTGTCAGGGAAAGCCTGTTATATTAACATGGTCATGGTGTTTTGTTAATTTGTATATAATAAAATGTGTTGCCTGAGCTCAGCTTTTAAGCATCCAACAGTTAAATGAGAACCATATATATATCGCTTTAAGATTCAGTTCATAAAGGAGAACATACCCTTTCCTAACTAATTCTCTTTATTGATGCCTAGATATCTATGCTGTTATTCCCCAAGATCTCAGCTGCTTAGACATTTTATGCGACACAGAGGTATCAATCATAAGTGGTCACTATACAATTTATTGGAACCTATTCTCATTTTAGTTTACCTACCTCCTTCCCCATCCCTGCCTCTCACAATTAAATAAAAATGGAGGCTGTTTATTCTACAGTGGTGCTGCAGGAATACTCTAGACAAGTGGTTTGAGGTTTGCAATAAATTATTTTTTTTCTCTTTTTTTAAGTTTACAGAAGACTTCTTAAAACTGTTTCAAGAATCTCTGCAGACAATTTCCAGTGTTGGCCCACCTACTATTCTAGCTTATAGACCAGAGTCATCAAGAGCAGATATTCACATTGAGGTAATGGCTCTACCCACCCACCTTCTATGCATTACTTTGCACTGTAAATTTATAACTTCTTATTCTTTACTGAAATGGGCAATGCTGTTTACCACTTCCCTTTCTTCCCGGATAGGGAAGAGCACTTTGGAGAAGGAAGGTGAAGGGAGGGGGGGATTAGGAGAAATTTTAAGAATACCAATTGCTTCTTCCAGTACCACTGGTATTCTGCTCAAAATTCCAGTTTCCCATAGATACTTCTGCTGAGGAAAGAATCATACAAATATACCTTGTGTTCAGTTTAGCCTGGAGGATTAACCTTTGTTTTCTGAAGAAAGAAAATAGTTACATGCTTCTACAAGTTTACCACTTCAGAATGCAACTGCATGACAGAATATCTCCTTTTCTTAAAAATTGCACTGATGAAAAATTCTGATGAAAAGCTGTGTATAACAGAGAAAGTGATGCATTGCCTTCTATCCAATATATGAATTTTCTATGCATAGTCAGCTTTCTTTTATTTCAAACTTACAATGCTGAAGTATTTAACAAGTGAAAAACACAAATGCAAGCAATAGCACTAAAAGAACAATTCAGTCACAAAAATTAAAGAGTGTTATAAAAGAGAAAAACTAATCTCCCTGTAAGTTATATAACAGAATAACTCCAAGTATTTGGCCATTAAATAAATTTTTACCTTTCTATTTCTGGACATAAGAATGTGAAACTATTTTATAGATCTGACATCTCAATAAGACTACATCATATTTCTTTAAGATTTTAGGCTAGCTTAAGTAAATACTTTAGGATACACCAACAAGATAATAATAGTAATAGTAGTAGTAGTAGTAGTAGTAGTAGTAGTAGTAGTAGTAGTAGTAGTAGTAATAATAATAATAATAATAATAATAATAATAATAATAATAATAATAATAATAATAATAATAATAATAATTTAAAAAAAGTTGGAAGGGACCTTGGAGGTCATCAAGTCCAACCCCCTGCTCAGGCAGGAAACCTTATACCATTTTAGACAAATGGCTGCCAGTCTCTTCTTAAAAACGTCCAGTTATTATTATTGTTGTTGTTATTATTATCATCATCTTGTTTGTGTATCTTAAAGTATTTACTCTGAGATCCCTCTCACAGTTACTACTATTGAGCAAGGTATCACCTATATCAGACATGTCAAACTCGCGATATCATGTGACGTCGCGCAACGTATCGGGACAGTTTTACCATTGCCGGCAATGGGGTGGGCGCGGCTTCCACGTGACGCATCTGGCCCGTGGGCCGGCAGTTTGACACCCCTGACCTATACTATACCTGTGCATTTGGTTTTTCTTGCTTAAATGTAGAACCTTATTTTTTGACAATTGAATTTCATTTTGTTAGTTGAGATAGAAGAGCTGTGTGTTTTGGACAATATTGGCAAATTCATTCTTAGAATATGGGATTAAGGAGAATTGTTCCCCCTTTCACTGCTTTGTTGCTTGTCATCCTTTAACAGCTTTTAAAAGCCAGTTGTCTCTAAGATCCCTAATGAAATTGCAAAATGATTCATTTACAGTTGGCTGTAATCCCTTTAGAAAGGAGAAGGAAAAGCAAGGCTTGTCCTACCTCTGAAACAGGTGGGGGTAAGAACAAAAGAGCAGCAACAATGCTTAATGATTGTGGTGCACAGCTGCCTAACACCATCTGTTCCCAAGGAACTTCAGAAATAAGAGATGAAAAAGCACAAAAGGGTTTTTCCACCATCCTTCCCATACAGCAGGATTGCTTTCATATACTTTAAGTGTTGTTTATTACAGGACAGAGCCAGCATCATCCATGCGGCAATTCATATTTTATGGTTTTCTTTTTTTTCCCCTGAGAACTGGCTTTTTTGTTTTTACAAACTTTGGTTAAACATTCCTGAAAAACTATTAGGAATAAGCAAAATGTCAGGGCAATGTGACATTAGTTGTGGCTAAGTAAAAACATTTTAAACTCTCAAGTTGAAGTTAAAAGACCAAATTTGCTTCAAAAGCAATTGGATATTTGACCAAAAACCAGCAATTTGAGATTTTCTCTTTTGTCCCATAAGCAGCATTTATAGGTACAGCTCACTATATCTATACCACGGGTAGGCAACCTTGGCTCTTTTATGACTCGTGGACTTCAACTCCCAGAATTCCTGAGTCAGCCATACCTACACCTACAAATGCTGCTTAGGGGAGACAAGAAAAATCCTCCTTCCTCCCTACAAATCAGCCAGTTTTTCATGTTTGAAATCTGGAAAGATGAGTGGAAGGAACAATTGTTTTCTGTACACCTTACTTTGACAGTGTCCAATATTTTTCTTTACCTAATCTGTTCCATTGATGTTTATTTAATGGGTTCCGTAGGGTTTTGTCTAATTTTGTGTTCAGATAATCAGTGTGTATTAAATTTTTAAATAATAAAGATTCCTGCCAAATTCCAACTTTGCTTAATTTCGCACATTGTGTGCAATCAGTTTGGCTGTTGTGGCCTTCCTGGTAAATATTAAATCCTAAATGGTTTTATAATGGGGAATAAGATATTATGAAACAATAAGCAAAGGTTGAACACTTTTATGTCTCATTGATTTCTATGACTATGGAGCTAGCATAAGTTTAATACTGTCAAATAATGGGTTTTAAAAGTTCTTAACTTAGATTTGACAGCTATGTGCCAAATTAGCATCTGGTAATGCATATAGCTAGACAATTAATTCAGAGAGAGTTGTATGTTTTTCCCCCTTGTTAAGTTAAAATTACTCATACTCTGTTCTGTTTAAGCATTAACAATATTAAATGGCAAGACCGTGTAGTACTTTGGATTTAGTTCCAAAACAGACCTTTGGAGTGTATGGAAGCACAAACATGGCTTCCATCTGCTACTCATTAAGGCAGCCATGTCTTTCTCATATGGCTGTGAGTGCCTTAGGGTTGAACCTGTTTGGACAGGATCAGTTCTGAACTCATCAAATCACTGGCAGACAAGAAAATGCCATATGTTGTGGTGGGGGGGGGGAGAAGGAAGCAATCAAAGCAATTAGTTCACTCTAGTTTGTTTCAGACTGAGCAATTCCTTTACAGGTAGTCCTCGATTTATAACCACAACTGAACCCAACATTTCTGTTGCTAAATGAGACATTTGCTAAGTGAGTTGTGCCCCATTTTACTACCTTTCTTGCCACATTTGTTAAGTGAATCACTGCGGTTATTAAGTTAGTAACAAGAGTATTAAGTGAATCTGGCTCCCACATTGACTTTGCTTGTCAGACGGTCGCAAAAGGTGATCACATGGAACTCTGGAACACTGCAACCATCATACATATGAACCATTTGCCAAGCATCTGAATTGTGATCACATGACCATAGGTATGCTGCAAAGGTCGTAAGTGTGAAAAATGGTCATAGGTCACTTTTCAGTGCTGTTATTAACTTCAAATGGTCACTAAATGAACTGTTGTAAGCTGAGGACTACCTGTATTAGCATGCAGAAGAGATTATTTTTTTCTTGTGTAATATATTCCCACTTTTATTGTTTATCTGTGCAAACAGTGAGTCTTGATCTCCAGGTGGAACATTTTAAATTAGTTTGAATAAAATTAAACTAATTTTGCTATTTTAACCTCAGGAACAGAAATCTATGATTGCCAATGGTTTCACTTTTTCTCCAGATCTGTTATTCAGTTTATTATTATTATTCAGTTCTATTGTAAGTCGGGGACTACCTGTATTTTTTAAAAATAATGGAAAGAAACATATCCAAATATATTTAATTCATTTAGCTCAGTTAGCGCACAGGGAGAGAATGAAAGCAAAAATTGGGGTTGGGAATTACTTAGTCAAATGAATATGTTGTGTTGACTGCAGTCCACATATGTACTATAGTCAAAATGTCAACATAAAAACATGTCTTTGTGATGTTAAGCAGCCAACAAATAGGACAGTTTTTGTGCTTTTCCTTCAGAAACTCCTTTACACTATTCTTTGAGCAAGCAAACAGCATTTGCCACTTCTGTTTCTCAGCTTTCTTCTCCAAACAGCCATGCAACTTTTCTTTAAATTTCAGATTTGTTAAGTAAATGAAAGTTATGAGTAAATAAGATGGCCAGTCTTTTAAACTTTTAATGTACATGTGGTCTATAGATCATTCATGACCATTCTCCCAAATTTAATATTACCCAATTGATTTATTACACTAGCAATATGTTAAACTTCTACAATCTGTTTTCCTCCTCCAAAACACTGCAAAGCCAAGTCAGTGCTCATTTTCCAATACCGTTGCTTTTAAGTGAAGGCTGAAATGTTGACGCCTAAACGATCTGCCATCACTTTTCAGGCACTGGTATTAATCCAGTCTTTAAAATGAGGCTCTTTCCACTCATCCAGTCATCTATTATTTTGAGCTGCCTGCTCTACTCTTGTGTCAGGGGAATTTTATGGTCCTGTTTTCTCTGCTTTATACTTAGAGATGTTTACAATAATCTGTGACTTAGAATAGGGTTGTATATCAAGATAAAGGTACATTTTCTGATCATCCCACCCAGGTGTTATATGTATGTTGATGAAATGCACATGTACATACGTATTTCGTGTTTTGCTTCAAAAAAATACAGGAATGGGATATTTAACATTCTGCAATTTGTGCACCTAGTTCCATCCATGATAGGATCATGTTGGTGCGAAGGAAAGGTGACTGCAAAAAATCATAGACTTCCATCAGAACATCCCACTTCCTTTACAAGCTCAGAACCATTAACTATGGGTAAACTGTATTCAGTAACATCAGTTGCACATGAGGCACAAAGGCAAGCACTTAATTAAAATAGAACATAAAAAGAAGCACAATTTCTCTGTAATGCCATTTAAAACAATACTGTTATATACATTTATATTTAAAGATTGCTTTTTCCAAGCTGGATATCTGTTGACTCTCAGTCACCATGGCCTTTGCTGAGAAATTTAGGAACTGACATTCACATCCTTAGAAGGCACTCAGGTTGGGGAAAAAAGTATAAAGTATATAAAAAGGCAGGTCGGTTTTTACTGTAGTAGCATTTCAGCTGAGAAAAAACCCAACCCTGAGTTCCAAAACAGGCCAGCTAAGAAATCCCAGGGTGATGTAGAAGTGTGGGCACAGAGCAAAGGAGACACCCACATCCATCTGATAGGTTTTCCTCCAGCAAGTCACAAGGAGCCCAACAAGTCTGTTTTGCAACCTCCAGAACCCTCTTGCCTATCAACATTCAGTGATCCTTTTGAGGTTGAATCACTGCCAGTTTCAGCATTATGCTTAGCATCTTTTAACTGCCTGAAACACCCCAAAGTGATCCCTGAATCTGCATTACTTTCAAATGTCATTACTTCACCTAACCAGTGAAGAGAAATAACAATAGCAACTTCCCCCTGTAGAGTCAGAACATTCTAACTTGGGGAGCCAGAATGGAGTATTTTAGGGGAGACTGTTCTAGTCTGGGAGGGGGTATGAATGTACCCTCTATCAATAATTGAGTGGGCAATGTGGAGAAAAAGTGCTACCCCACAGAAACTCAGGCTATGAACTCTATAATGTTTGTCTAGATATCTATTATAAAACTTTCTGAAATACCTCCCCCTTCTTCTCTGCAGGTCCAGAAGGAAACTCCAGAAACCTGTGAATTCTGTGGCAGCCCCCTAATATACTTCCCTTCATTTGAAAGTCTGGAACACATAGCAGAGTGGGGAGATGTAAGTAATGAGAGCAAATTCTCCACATGGTTTTCCATTGGATCCAAGGTCCACCTGTCCAGCTGGTAAGAGCAGGACCTTGCTTTCCAGCTTTTCTGTTGCCAGCAATGCCGGGATCTTCATGAGTTCATTGTCAGTGAAAAAAATCGCTATCCAAAGAAAATGGAGATGATTGATATTGCCCCTCATAAGGCCCACGGAAGTCAAGCTGACCGAGAACGGGCAAAAGAAAGAGCTCGACAAAGGTATGGCAAACTGGGGGGATACATATTTGAGCCCTTAAGATGGTTAGGGGGAACACTAAAATCTGATGCCTCAAAGCTACCTGCACCTCTGAAAGCTCATGTTTCTTGCAGAAATCTCTAGAAGTTGTTACCAAATTTAAAGTACAGCGTGACAGAAGGAAAATTACTAATTACACAGCTGAAGACTAATAACTGTTGAATTTTAATTTAAATGAAATCAAATGAAATCAAAATTTATTTTTGTTCTAGCCTCACCCATTACTTTTGGGAGCACAATCTATAGAGTATTCAGTTTAAAGTTAGGTAGCTATTATACCTCACGAAATGGACCACTTTAAACCATCACTTGCAGTGCAAGCAGCAAGAAAGGAGGTAGGAAATGTATAACCTACACTGGGTTGTATTCTACCATGAGTTAAGGAAGTTCAGGGGAAGAAAATTTCTAAATTCTCTCTCTGAAGTTTAAATGAGCTCCCCAAAAGTTACCGGAAAGGAAGATGACTCTCCAGCTGAATACAAGTTATAGGCCTTGGGATCCTGCGATATGTCAATTTTAGGATACACATCTAAGGAACTTTAATCATATCTCCTCCCTCAGAGGGAGGTTGCATAATTCAGTAAAGAAACTTTGGAGGGAATCTATGTGAGTAGATGGAAATTAGTCTGTCATTAATGTCTTTAACTTACCTGAGACTTCCTGTTCTTGAGCTTTTATAGGTATTATTGATGCAGAAGATCTGGTTCAACTAATTAAGACTTCATCAATCTTAAGCATATAGTGAAACTCTAATGATTATAGCTGTTAAAGAAATGGTGCTATGGAAAAAAGATAAATCGAAGTAGAAGAGCTTATTTTTTTAGACACAGTTATGAGAAACAGCTAGAGCATTTAGAGCTCTTAAAGCATTGCTGGGAAGAAGTCATCAAGTGCTTAGCCACTCTTGCATGGGAGGCTGCAAAACTCAGCTTGTTCCTTTATTCCCACATAGGGTCTAGTGTCGATATGCTGATGAGAGCCAGATTTATATTTTGATCTCAGGCTCAGCAGGAAATGCAGTGGAGATCCTGATCCAGGCTGAGATTTGCAAAACAGACTAAAATTTAATTCTAGCAAGATAGTGTTACTATTGATGCAGAAGCCCTGTGGTTCCATATATCGCTCCATACAGGATTGCACTTTCCCTGAAAAGTTGGAATGTAGTTTTGGGGTTCTCCTGGACTCGCAGATTCTATGAAACATCGAGTGGAAGTCACATCCAAGAAAATTTTGGTCCAGTTTCATCAAGCATGCCAGTCACATCTGTTCCTGAATTAGGAAGTGCTGGAGACAATACCTTATGCCACTGAATTATCTCAGTTACACTACAGAAGTTAATCTGCCCTTGAAGACCATTCAGAAGCTGCAGTTGGCACAAAACCCAATGCCTTCTGACCAGCACTAACCAATTTAGTAACATAATTTGTATTCAAGAATTGAAGTGGCTCCCAGCAAGGATCTGGGTCCAAATCAAGGTGTAGGCTGTAACCCACCAATCCTATGATTTCTGCCTCACTACCTACATTATAATCTTGCCATGGGTGCATAGCCCTACAGAGTTGGGGAAGTGGGGGCAGGGACCTGAAGTATGACCTTCTCACTGACAGCCCACTCACTTTGTAACTGTTTGTCTTATGAGGTCAGTCTAGTCCCCATCCATTTTCGTTTAAGAAGTAGGTTAAAACCATTCCCTTCCATAAGGCATTTAGGGAAAAAGATTTTAATAGAAGATTGCAACAGATATTTTTAAAGCTGTTAATTTTTTTACTGTTATGGATGTTTTAATGTATGCCAGTTATAAGCTGCTTAAAGTTGTTTGAGTAGGGGACATACAAAGAACTGTAATAAATAGATTTTTTAAAAACCAAAAAGTTCACACCCAGCATATTTTAATGTTACAGGCTCAGAGAGAGACAAATGGCAAAACAAATTGCCTTTATGGCAGTAGAAGCAGAAAAGAGTGCATTTCCAATACATATCCCTGAATGTAAGTTGGATTATTCCACTGTTATTTATGTTTTTGTTACTATGCGCAGAAGGGAGAATGATTCTTATTCCATATTCACTCATAAAGAAGAATCACCCAAATGCATATCAAAACTTTGGCTCAATGTTACTGTATATTTCCAAGGCTGACAGTGGACTGGAACCTAGATTCCTCTATACTAGTCTACTACCTTCATCACTACAGCATATTGGCCTTCATGAATCTATTGATTTTATTGATCTGATGCCACCCAAATATGGGCAGATCACAACCATTTTTTAAAAAAAAAATGGAAACAGCAAAATATAAAAAAAATAACTACCAGAAATGCAAAATAATCACAAGATTATTCCAACAACATAGCAAGCAGAAAACATCAGGGCAGAGCCATCCCCCCTACTTCAGGGCCTGGGTAAATACAGGTAATCCTTGACTTACGACCACAATTGAACCCAAAATTACTGCTCCTACGCAAGACAGTTGCTAAGGGAGTTTTGCCCCATTTTATGACCTACCTTGTCAGAGTTGTTAAGTGAATCACTGCAATTAGGTTAGTAAAATGGTTATTAAGTGAATCTGACATACCCATCAACTTTTTTTGTCAGAAGGTCGCAAAAGGTGATCATATCATCCCAGGACACTGCAACTATCATAAATACATGCCGGCTGCCAAGTGTCCCAATTTTGATCATGGAACCGTGGGAATACTGCAATGGTCGTATGAAAAATGGTCATAAGTCACTTTTTTCAGTGCTGCTGTAACTTTGGTCACTAAGCAAATGGTTGTAAGTCGAGGACTACCTGCAGGCAGGTCTTTTGAGACCTTCTAGAACTGATTCAGGATGGGAGTCATATGGATCTCAGAGTTTCAGCACAACTTGCTTATAATTCAACTAGAAAATAATTGTATATATAGAGAAAATGAGAACAATTGTTGCTAACCTTGCACAAAGGAAACATTTCTCTGTAGCATGTTCCCCAACAATTTCCAGCTATAGGATTAACAGTAGACTAGAAGATTATCTAATCAAAGAAATTGGAAGAAACCATTTAGAATCCAATCATCTGCTTTGTATTGGGATACAAATTAAAGTATTTGAGATAGATGGCTGTCAAGTCCCTGCTTTAATACATCCAGTGAAGGATGGTCACATTTCTGGATATTTGGTTTCATTAAATGGAATCATATTCCTACCACAGCTGTCTTTAAAAGAGAAAACCTGATGATAGACCTATCACCAGCTATTCATTTTGATGACGCCATTTTCAGTATGTCTCAATATCAGTTGCTGAGATGAAAACAGCACCAAAGAATTAGGGCTGTTCTGTTATTCCTGGAGTTTTCCTTGAAGCCTCTGAGTTTCTCTTTATGTAAGATGATCCTGTTTCTAAACCAGTATCCCCTTGTTAACATACACAAATAAATGCTTTATTTTTAGTGTTGCTTTATCATCAATGTAAATTTTAATTCTGATTTTGATTACATGTTGCAATATTTTGCTATAATTTTGAAAACTGCTTGGGTTTCATTGTAGTAATGTTTTGTTTTGAAAGCAAGTCTGTACCTTCCTACTGAAGGACAGGGTTTTAATAAATATCCAATTAAGTTAAAAATAGTTTTCTCTAATAGTGTGAGTCTCCTACCGTAAAGTTATTAGATCCAATATTTGAATTCTGTTGGCAAAAATTATTGTATAGGCACTTTCACTAGCCAATACTACTTGGTTGTTATTTATTGGATGTATATGTTGCCAAATTCATTCAGACGTATGACAATTAAACAAAACATTGCCACTATACAAGAAAAATGCCATTCCCCCCCTAACAGTACCTTAGGTACAATCTTACAACAAAGGGAGTTTGCTTGTTCCTTTTAAGTCAATTAATTATCATTTAATTCTTATTTAATATTTTATTTTGTAGACAATAAACAGCTTAGAACAATTTCCTTCTTCCTGTCTCAAGAGACACCTTCTTCAGCAAGAATTTATCCACCAGTAATTAAAGAAGCAGAGATTCTGGACAATACATACAGCATCTCTTGCTGTGATTTCACTATTGCAGGTGGAAAGGTAAACAACTGATTTTATACACTAGAAGCAATTTTTGTATTTTATATTCAAAATTTTACCTACATAAAAATATACAACCTTTTTAGAGCTGAGAGCTAAACTTTCAAAGCAATGTGCTTAATGTACCCATGTCAATTATATGTGGGATTAATAGCAACGAATGGCTAAGATTACTTAATATGAATTTTAAAGATAAAGTAAATATAGCATTATTTTCACTACAAAGTCAATAATTTCTTTTTTTTTTACATTGAAATTACAATTCTTAAAAAATAGGATTTGCCCAGGAATTAAGGAGTGCAAAAAGCAATGGTAGCAATGGTGTACCCATTTCATGGGCATGAGCTTGTAACTAATCTTTGAATATGGAAAACCAAAACAATCCATTTCAAATGGGAATTGTATTTCAGAATACTTTGCCTAAAGTGCAAGGCAAAAAATAGCTTTATTTGTTACAGGGCCCATTCATTTTCTCTCCTCCTAAATTAAAGCGATATACCTCCCAATCTTTATGGCATCTTTGGGGGCATATAAAAATCAATGTGCTTGGGAGCCAGACCAACATTGCTAGCCACTACCAACAATAGGACAGTTGCAAATTGAATTTTTAGTGTAAGCTGCATCTCCTCTTATTTTCGTGGTTTAAGCTTGTCATTTAGCTGCTGACATACTCAGATTTATCTGCTTGTTTACATAATAACATACATGTATCTATTGCAAGGGATGTAGTGCACCATGGCCCTTTGATAAAAATAGCTAGATTTCTAGTTAATTCCCTTTTGTATACTGGCCTTATTGTTCTCTTTCAGTATCTTATCTTGCTCTTTTGAGTTCCATGGGGAAACTGTAAGCTGCATGTTGTTCTTTTTTTCATCAATAGTTAGTGAAAAACCAATTCATACAACAGTACTACAAAAATGGTGTGAAGTTCCTTACCATGTTTCCGGACGGCACTGCACAAATATTGTATCCTTTTGTGACATACTTCTTTTCTGACATACTGTGTTCAGTGGAACTGGATCAGAGCTAGAGGGCTGCAGCATAATAATCTGCAGCAAACACAACTAGTGTTCTGTCCCTGCTATGCTTGGTAGTGACTTTATTTTACTTTATAGCTGCCTTAATAATACAACAATCACCCCAGTTAAGAATAGAACATCTAAAATGCATTGACCTACAACAATTAAACCTTTAATGCAGTGCTTCTCATTCATGGCATCTTTAAGATATGTGAATCAACTCCCAGGATTCTAAGAGATGGAAGTCCCCACAACTTAAAGTTGCTAAGATAGAAAATAATGTTATAGCACCGTGAGTACAGGATTCATAGGATTCCTTCTTCAGGGTTGGAGACAAAACTAGGCAAGACTACAACTTCACAAGCAATAATCCAGTACCAAAGTCTGCCTACTGACCCCTGCCATCCTATTTCTGATGTCATAAAGTCAGACGAAGTGGCTATTTGTAGCAAACTTGGTCTTCTAGACATACAGAGTATTGGCGAAGTAGTCATCTTCCTTATATGGTATCATCCATACTGCTGTACCACTGCAAAATTAGGGAGAGTTTTGATTTGGTACAAAACTATAATAGTTCTACTTCTAAAGTATTTATTTATTTATTTAATCCCATTTATACCCCGCCCTTCTCCCGAGGGACTCAGGGCGGCTTACAGGTAAATAAAAACAGTACAATACAATAGATATCTCTAAAAGCCAAATTAAAATATATATTAAATAACCTGTATTAAGTTTAATATTATAAAATCCCTTTAAAATCCCTATAAATCCCTGCTGGCTCAGGAATTCTGGGAGTTGAAGTCCACGAGTCATAGAAGAGCCAAGGTTGACTACCCCTGGTCTAGACAGAAGATTCATGCTACATCAGCAAAACAGAACCAAGGAATGAATTTAAGAACTGCAGGTAACATGGGAAAAGGGGATGCTAACCAAGATTCTCCTCCCTCCCCCCAATCAGAAATCCACTATACCATTCATACATATGAACTAGCATGTCTAAGCAAGTAAAATAGGGAAAAAGACCTTAGCTATATGTACAGCTATCCATCTGGAAATCTGGCAATTATTGTTGTACAGAAGGATGAAAATGCAGGATACATTTGTATAGTCCAAGAAGATAAGCATGAGAAGCCGGAAATCCAAGCAGTATTTGACTCTTGTGGGAAAGGAACTTGTTATCATCCAAACCAAATTGTATGGTGAGCTAATTATAAATAGAGAAATATTCATTTTTTGTTATGGATTTTGTATTTCATATTTTAAGTATTTAAATATTTCATATTTAGTGGGTAGGATTTCCATTACGTCAACATATGCAGTATTACTAGAAAGACCCTTTTGTGACTGGAACCACGCTCAAGTTGTAGAAAATGCAACTCTTTCTAAGTGATAGTAAATTCATCATGCTGTAATTTTCTGTTCACTATTTTTTTCCTTGAAATTGCAAAAACTATAAATTTGCAAGTCATTTCTGAAGTGTGATTGCTAACATCACGTTGCTTTACTGCTGTTGAGAGAAGGCATCATGTTAATTCAGTCTTCTCGTGCCAATGCATTAACCATAGTTTGCCAACATTACTTAAGCATGATTTGAGTTACCTACAATTGTTTTTGTGAATGGTCACATTCTAGATAGTTTGCATTTTATTGTCCACTAACCTCAGCTTATAATCTACTTTCCCCTAATATAATTTGTATGTTTATTTAGACTACTTCATACATATCAACTGAACATTTTGTAAGAAGCTTATGTTGTAACAAATAAAAACATCACTATTTCATTATAATGGGATAACTTGATTGCCATTCTGGAAACAATTACATACTACAAGCCCTTTTTTATGTATTTGCTTGGAATGATAAGGGAAATAAATCAGTCAGGTGGATCATAACTGAGCTGAACCTGTCTTCATAATTTTTATATAGGATATGTTAAGATTTGTGGTTCAAATATACAATCAATTTATTTTTCTCCCTTGTAGGATAAATATTACTATTCGAGGAGGACATTACTCAGATCAAGCTGGCAACAAAGTGAAAACATGGATTTGGCCCAACAATCTACAGAAGCACAATCCCCGTGTATCGTTTAAACCCATCTTTCTATCCTTGAACCTTAATGTTGGTGTCAGGATACTAGGGCAAGATAAAATTGCCATTTCTTTTCTTGCAATGGGAAAACAAGCAAAAATTAATGTAGGAACCAAAGTGAAGGTACATGTCAGAGGAATTAATGTTTACCTATCCTTACAAGTTACAATTAAGCAAGACATGGAATGTTTTGGGTGAACAGAAAACATTTAGGGAAATACAAAAACCTACGTTTTATTCAAAATTGATCAAGTTAGTGTTCTCCAACATAATCTGTATAGCCATTTTACATGATTTAAATTAATTGCAACATTGCTTTCATTCCTATGCAACTCACTGAATTTCTGCTAGTCAGAGGTGTGCACTTTGGACGCTAAATTAACTTTTTTTTTTCTTAAAGCCACTTGCTGAACACCTTCCATGGCCAAAGTACATAGCTGAAGATGACCTTCTGCTCTTCGCCAATAGACTAAAGATTCTTCGCATCTTTGCTAAACTGAATGGATATTTAGACTTTCCTGCCAGTGACTGGTGGACTAAACTGGAGCTCCCTTCATTTCTTTTGAAACAGACTTCGAAGTTAATATATCTTTGTAAAGAATGTGAAATAGGCTGTGCTCTAGATAGGTTAATAATGGCAAAACTAAATTCACCAGTTTGATCAACAGCCGATTGTTGATGTTGCCTGAACAGTGTGTTAAAGTCACTTGTTTAAAATATTTAATATTTATTAATCTGTTGAATACTGTAAGCAAATTTTTATGTATTTAATATTTATGTATTCTTAAAATATATATGCGTATCTTCATGAATGTTCTATGTAACAGAAAATATAAATTTGAAGCCAACTTCAGTAAGAAAATTGAATTATATGCCATAGTATTCATAAAACTCTAGATCCATTTTGCTATGGTTAAAAAAAATCATAAGATTTTTAAGGCCATACTTAGATTAACCCACAAAATTTCTCTGTAGTTTTGATTTCTCCACACCTCTTTGAGCAAGATAGTAAATAAAACACAATGGGTAGGCTGAGGAAGAGGATTCTTAAACCACTGGCTTGCATTTAGTTATAATCTGGATGGAATTAGACCCTACCAGCCAATGTCACATTTTCAGATTACAAGTAAGATTCTGGTAAAAGCTTCTGGAAAAAAGATTTGTTGTTCCCACTGTCTGAAATCAAACCATCCAGTCATTACTCAGACTCCTGTCAATCTTTAGGGAGAATACCTAATGCACCTTTTTAAAGTGTAAAAACAATAAAGGAGAAAAAGATTTATTTTATAACAATGCTGTCTTGTTGATAAACAACCCTAGTCTTGATATATTAACAAAGCTTTATCTACTACTTGGAGGAAACTGTTTTCTAGGATGTATGTTCCAGGCTCAGAAAATAAAACTTTCCATATACAATGCTGTTGCTGATATTATCCAAACTGCAGTTATTATCGTAAAAAGGAAAAACTCTTAGTACAGCAGTTAGATCATTCCAGAATCTCAAAATAATGAGTAACTCGTTCAGGTGCAATAAAATTCTTCATGATCACTGGACCCCCATTTCATGACATGTAATGGTTCTATTAGCATAGGTAAATTCCATTTATATATATATATGCAATGATGAATCCTCAACTTTATAGATGATTTTATAGAAGCACTTTGTATTTTGCTATTACCATCATCCAATCAAGGCAGTGTTACAAACCAATTTTGGACAAAAAAGCTATGTGTATTCTTTATCTTCTGATCTCTCCTTTTCCTTTTGTGAGCTAATGAACTATTGGAAACAAATGTGTACAATAAATTATGCCCTCAGAGCAGCAGACAGGAATTAAAACAATGTAATTGAGTAATATGGTAAAACAGCAGCAAAAGTGGCAAGACATATAATTAAAAGGTGGAGCTGGGATAGCTGTTATTTATTTTTCATTTCTTTTCATCAAAATAACTGTACCAAGAAATCTATGTTAATAAAGTACTGTAAAAGCACAATTATGCATCAAATAGGTACTTTATATTCCTATGGATACTTCCCTAGATGTAAGCTTCATTTAAACCAATGTGATTTGTTTTTGAGTGGGATGGACTGGTATGAGAAATTCAATATTTATATAAATGTAATTTGCAGAGGCTTTGTTTCTTTTTCATTTTTCATCCTAGTTTATCATCTATATTTACTTAAAAACTGCCCAAAAGCCATCCTAAGAAAGCTAACTATAAACAGGAAACCACATGAATGAAAACATAAAATTGCAAAGGACACAACCATGAAAAAAGCCCACCCCAAAATATGTTTATCAAGTAATAAACCTGTTCTAAATGCTTTCTGAAATAGCAGTAGAGCTAAATAAGCAGAATCAGACAAAGTGCAAATGGACCTCATATGGAAGAGAATTCTCAATCACAGAAATAAAGGCTTGATAGATAAATCTGTCTCACATAGTTAATGCTACATTACAGACAACATATTTTCTAAATAGACAAAGTACTTCAGAAAAGTTCTCACAGAAGGCTTGATTTCAATATACCACTATTGTCAAGAGTAATTAAGACTGAAAAGTGCTTTTTTTTTGCTCATGGACTAGTTCACAAATTCAAGGCTTAAGTGAGATCCAGGGATATCCACGTAATTTGAAATTAGTCTTCTGTTGGAACTGTTTTGAAATTAAACAAGCTTATATACTGAGAGAATCAGAAAATGACAAGCTCTTAACTCATTTTAAAGAAAGGGATTTAAATACATACCTGCTTCAGGTGTTTCAGAAGATTTAATTAAAAAACAATATAGATTTCAATGCTTTAAACCATATTCAAAATTACACTGGGAGCAATTATGCTATTATGATTATTACCAGTAGTTTCTGAAAGACCCACATGAAGACAAAATAGGAGACTCCCACTGTATTCTGTTTTAAAATATTTCATTGAGTAAACTGTATCGATATTTACTTATTAACCCATTTTTGATTATCTTCAAATAATCAAATTATGGCCGAGAGGCGAACCTCTCGATCAGAATTGTGCTTATCTAGTTTTCTCTCTCCTGCACTGGAGATTGAACATACTGTTCTATAATCTGAAAAACTATTGAAGGGAGAAGAGGCAGAAATTAGATCAGCTTAATTCCATTTTATAAATCATTTCAGGTTCCAAAGCTGGAATTGGCCACTGCTAAATCAATAGACTTACATGGCTTCATTTGTCCTTTTCCCTTACATTTCATCATCCTGGCAAATTCAGTCCTTATATCCTTGTTGTACAATGAATACACAAATGGGTTTATCAGTGAATTGGTTTCTCCTAGGAGGAATAAAAAATCCCTCAACAGTGGGCTCAGATTGCAGGATTTACAGGTAGCTTTCACAATGGCAGTCCCATAATAAGGGCCCCAGAATACAATGAAGCAAACAATCACAACAAGGATGGTCCTTAGAGCTTTGAAGTTACAGAGATGAACAGGGGGGATGGCTGCATGCAAGCAAAAGCGCTGGATCTGCTTATGCTGTAGATAGGCAATCCTTCCTATTGAGATATGCAAACACACCAAGATCAACAAAGCAGGGATGAAAATGCCAAAACAAATTATGTAGAGGTAATCACTTTTGGCAGCAGACAGGAGTCCACAGTTACCTTTCAATTTGTTCTGCCGCAATCCTGAAGAAATAAGTGGCATGTGTCCTACCAAGAAGGAAAAAACCCAGAGGACTACAAGAGAAAGGATTACATGTTTCTTGCTCATAAGGGAGGGATAATGAAGAGGCAGTTTCACTGCCAAATATTTGTCCAGAGAAACCAGGAGTAAGGTGAGAATAGAGCCAATACAAGGAGTAATACCCATGCAGATCCTTATAAGACAAAAAATCAAATTCGTATCAAACAGTGCATCTGTTGCATCATCCAAAGCGTCTCCAATGCACATCACACCCACAAGTAGATCAGCAGCTGCCAAGTTGAGGATGAAGACATAGTTTCTGCTTGATCTCTTCTTCTTCAACCGACAGACGACAATGATTACCAGTAGATTAGCAGATGGGATAAATATACTTAAGATGACATGTAGCACTGCATAAATAATAGTTGACATCTTGTTTACTGTAAACTGGTAGATACATTAGTTTTAGATATGCATTGCATATGCAAATTGTATCAAATCTTTAGGAGTAAATATGCTTTCCAATCATCAAACTGTTTAGTCACAGCAAGAAGTGAAAACTTGGTAGCTGCCCTCATTCTCTCTGGTCAGACGGTTTTCTTCAAATTGATGACTGTTCTGTCCCAACATCTTGTCAGTTTGTTTCTCTTGTTAAATTCATGATACTCTTCCACTGGTAAGGAGACAGCTGAAGACACATGGAGGATCAAAGTTCTGCCACTTAAAAGCTTCAGACAAAATCAACTAATTGGCTGAAATGGAGGGGATGAAAAATAGTCCGGAAGCAGATTTGCTCTATTTATGAAATTCTCTGATGCAGAAAGGAAGGAGTTTAACAAACAAAAAGAGACATTGCAATATCAGTTATCATTACACTTCTAAAGGTGTGTGATTGTTTGTCTTCTCCATGCATTAAAATGAAGCGACCAATAGACAGAACATCTCCATGGTATCCTTAGTTATTGGATCCTGGGAAGAAAACTTGGTTATTTCAGAGATCCAAGAAAAGAATTTTTTTCCCAGTTAAGAGGAATGGATATTAGACTTAAAATTGTAAAGTAAATTAGAAAACTATTGCTGGAGTGCAAGCTTTGTAGCTTGTCTGGGTTCAAGGAGATTGTTAAATGAATGATTGGGAAGGTAACATTTTCTACAATCACATTACAAGTAGTCCTCAATGGGGACTAGAATTTCTGTTGTAAGTTGTTGCATCATAAGTTGAGTTGGACCTGCTAAGATTATTTTTACAGTGGTTATTAAGCAAATCACCATGGCTGTTAAGCTAATCACATGGTCATTCAACAAATTACATGGTCATTAAGTGAATTCAGCTTCCCCAGTAGGTGTTTTTGCCAAAAATCAGCAAAAGGTTTTTAAATCGTGATCATGTTATTGCAGGATGCTGTAACCGGCTGTAAACACAAACCAGTTGCCAACCACCCAAACTGCAATCACATCACCACAGGGGTGCCGTGCGATGTGATGATTGTAACTGCAAGTGCATCCTTTGGCATGTCCATGTGACACCCGCTTTTCAAGTTGCACTGGTTGCCAGTATGCTTCCAGATGTGATTCAACTGCTGATTATGATCTATAAATCTCTGCCTGACATAAGGCTATTTGAGAGGCTAAAGCTACGAACTATTTTTTCAAGTGATATATTCTGAAAGAGTTAGAAGCTACTTCATCCAATGTAAATGTTTTTAGCTAGATAATTCCAGATTTTCATCATCAGGAAAATTTTTTAGGGTTGGTCTATTAAATGCAGCCATGAGAATAAGGGAGTACATTGAAGGAAGAGAGCAGAATGGAGTGCAACAGAAGGTAGTGTCAAACAGGATCTTTGTTGTGGAAAGTTATGGAAATAAATGGCTGTGAGAAAGAAGTTTTTTCATACCTGATAATATAGTGCAGAGAAAAGTGAATTGAGATAAAATCCCTTTGCCTGAGATGAACATATGAGCACACTTTGGCTAGCAGAGATTATGTAGTACAGTATTTCCTTGAAATAAAGCACACTACTAAAAAGCAGTCAAATAGAATATAAAAGAAAGACGTGGCACATAAGTTGAAGGTGCCACATAAAATACAATGTGTAAAACATTTTTCTCATGCCCCTCAAATAATAACCTATAAAATGAATCTTAATAACTATAAGCAAAGGGATAGACAATCGGAATTTACAAAGTGCTTTTAAAATATTGTAATAGGATATAAGAAGAAAAGAACTGGCAAGCTTGAAGCAGAACAGATTATTTTTTTTAAAAGACCCTAAATTATGCTTACATATGACACTCTAATGTTGTTATAATCTGAAAGTTAGTAGAGCAATGTGAAACTTTAGAGAGATAAAAATGATAAATTATAACAAAAATCAAGAACTCAGCTGAAAAACCATCTATAAATTCTGGAATTAAAAAAGTTATATTTAGCTCCTTAGAACTCTAGGAAGAGGGAAAACAAATGCACAAGGATACCCATTTGAGAAACGTGGATTTTATAGCCTAGAAGCACAGATGTACTTGACTGCTATATTTAGTTAACCACATGGAACTGTTCAACTGTCTTAATTCTAGCACTAACTAATCTCCTATTCAAACAGTCTACTCATTAAGTTCACAATTATTGCAGATTCAGATTTTATGTTAGCCATTTTGAGATAGATATCACCAATCTTTTCATTAATGGCCACCAAAAGAGATGCAGTAATAGCTCTGCAAACACTATTTAAAGGAGTCTGTACTTTTGGGTTGTTTCAAAGCAATTAACACAGCTTTGTCAAGCTTTTATAGCTTGAAGCTTTTATTTGTTTTTATGAGTAACTAATTACAACAGCTTTTCACAATCAGTGCCTAATACATGTGCTATATCAGATCCTCACCTCTGGTCAGAAAACTCTTAACATTTGGGTTGGTGGGTGGGGGTGATAGGAGCTATAGTCCGCGTATCTGGAAATCACTAGGTTGGTGAAGTCTGCACCAACATCTTGCAGAATTAGCAGCAGGAGATGGTTTTCAGGAATATATTTCTGTATTTATTTCCTACAGGCAAAACTAAAGAATGTGATGCCTTGCTCTAATACGCCAATCATGTACTTTAGAAATATCCTAACAAAATCTAAATGATTTATATACTATTAAAACTCACACATCTGTAACTTTTAACTGGGGAAAATTGTGCATCACAGAGAAGCACTTTTAGAACCTAGGTACCTCAAAAGCGCTAAATTACAGAATGTGTACAAAATCTGAAACCATGACTTTCATGGGATTGAAATTTGTTGTTTCGTTGCTGCTGTGCTGCCACCTGGAGCTTCAGTAGACCAGTTGCACCCTAGCCCTCTTGAGGACTAGTCAGATCAATTCTTCCTTTGGCCACTGGAGATCAGGCAGATACCGGGTAGCCCTCCAGATACCGGGTAGACCAATCCCATCATTAATTGCTGGAGAGTCAAACTGGCAGGAAGTGGAAAGTCACTCCCACTCCCAGAGTCTCTGACCTTGGTCGTTCTGTTTCTCTGTTTAGATAAGGAAATATCTCTGAAACAATGAACCAACAGGTCATGAGTTGTATAGTATTATTTAAAATTTATAGAAATTTTATGAAAATATAGTGTGGAAACAAATCTTACATTTGGAATGTCAAATTTTTAATACAACTAAGATCACCTAATTTAACATTTTTATTCCAAAGTCACACACACTATATCAGTACATGTAAATTTGGAGTACTTTCAGATTTTTCAATGAGATTAAAACCTCCCACAATAAATGTACATAAAACTGAAATCAATGGGCTTAAGCTGTATTGAAAGACTTAGGTTTTATTGAAGTCCAACAGTTTTAATATATAGTAAAATATAAAGCTAATTATATAAAAAAGCAGAAATTCTATTTTGATTGGCTATAGTGAAGTTAAGCTTTATATATTTATTTCTTCCCTGAGATTTAACAATGATGTACATACATAGAATTTGAAAAAATGAGAAGTTTAAATTTGGAACAAGAGGAAAAAGTGTATTTTGAATGAAATAAATTATAAGAGTGGGAATATTACAGAAACCTAAATACATTGTTATATATCTTATGATTAAACCAGTAATTTTTATAGCAGTAACAAAATATATTTGAGGATGCAGAGAAATATGTTATTAGCTCAGCAAAAATCATGGTGAACTAATTTTAAAAAATGCACCTACTATATATGAACATATCACATAAACATGTGCAGTATATATGCCAAGCAATATTTAATCCTGATTTTCAAATAAGACAAAAACTCTGAATGTATTTCAACCTAAGTCTTTCTCACAGATAGAGTTCACAGTAAGCATCACATATACCAAACAAAACCAAAAGGGCTATAGTCCACAGACCATAATAAATTTACATCATAACTGAACTGAATTAAGTAGACTTTAAAAAATCTTAATATATTACATCACTGGAAATACCTGATTTTCGTAAAGTAATGAGTTGAATCAATATACACATTAAAAGTTGTTTGTGTTATTTGTTTATATATTTTAAAATATTTTAATTAGTTCTTGTTCCAGGCTGGTTGTTTAGATTTTTTTGTTTTTGGTGAGGAAGAATCTCAATTGTTCTGCAATTTTATTGTCCCCCATTCAAAAACCTACTAAATACTGGAGACATAACTGCAAATGATTAAGCACATGTTTTCATTAATGTTTGCTGTACTGTCACTCAATATGTTTTAGGCTTCAGAAATTTATTTTTGAAAACATAATTATTTAACAATCAAGGGTAATATTTGTAGCTCAGGGTTGAAATGAGGGGTCATTGGTGCTGAGCTTGATTGTTTTCTTGCAGACGTTCATTACCCAAATTGGTAACATCATCAGTGCTAGCATGATAGTAATGAAATGTCTGCAAGAAACCAATCAAGCTCAGAGAGCACCAAATATCCCTCATAATTCTTCAACAATTTTGAAAAATTATAAAACAGCTTTTCAAAAGGAATTAATTTTGTAATAATAATAAAGAGTAAAAAAAGTATATGTAAAGCTTGTGTAATTATGTAAGAAGTCAAAATTAATAAATACAACACTAGAGGCAGTCCTCAACTTGCAACCACTCATTTAGTGACCATTCGAAGTTATAACAGTCACAAAAGTGACTTATGATTGGAGCATCCCTGTGGCCATGTGATCAAAATTCAGATGTTGGCAACTGACTTATATTTACGATGGTTGCAGTGTCCCAGGGTCATGTGATCACCACCTTGTAAGCAAAGTTAATGGGGAAGCCAAATTCACTTAACAACTGTGTTACTAACTTAACAACTGCAGTGATTTACTTAATAATTGTGGCAAGAAAGGTAATACTTCACTTAATTGTCTTGCTTATGAACAGAAATTTGGGGTTCAATTGTGGTCATAAGTCAAGGACTATCTGTAACTGATGCTTATCGAAGTAGGTCTACTGCAAAATGTCCATTCTATTATTAAAAATCTAGGAGCCCATCATATCAATGCTTTTGGCTTTGGAAACACCAGTGTGCAATATTCTTTTGCAGGGAAAGCTGGAAATGGCAGTAATATTTATTTTCTACCCCAAATTAATTTTGTCACACATGAGATCTAGATGTTTCCTAACGCAAATTGATATTTGGGTGGAGGGGAAGTAGAAACCTGTTTTCTCCAGAAGATGCCTCTGAACAATGTTAAATAATAAGATCACATTATATCACATTGGAACAGGGAGACCAAATGTCAGCCTATAAAAGACAAACTTGAAAAATTTCAGCAGCAACATAAAATCTTAAAAATTGGCAGCTTAAGGTTCCCAGACTTAGCGAGCGTGGTTATATTTCCATGTTCAGTATGTTATATGTTTGTTATTCATCATCTTGTTTATTGTTGATTGTATATTTGTTATTTTGTTTTTAAGTTGCTAGCTGCCCAGAGTCATCTGGAGTCAGGGGGCATATAATCCAAATAAAATAACAATAATAATATTGAAATTATTGCATTGCCACTATGGAACTCTTCATCACCATCGACTTTTAAACTGAAAGTTCATTTAATTAAGATTATAGGTTAACCATAAGCGTAATAATTAACAACCAAATAGCAAGTTGTGGACTTCCAAATAAGACAGTATAATAATAATTAACTTATTTGCCAGAAATCACAACAGACAATTTGAAATAGGAATCTAGATGTTGTTTGCTATCTACGAAGAGTTATGTTGGTCAGATGTGGTTAGTTCCTGGAGGACCAACATGAAAGGTCAAGAAAGTCCCAAGATACACAATGGCAAACCATTTCAGTATGGTTGAGGAAAAAAATATCATTGATATGTTGAGTTAAGCTCAACTCAAGGAAGATTTGATTTTGTATATGTTGTATTTTAAATGATTATTACTAGGACTTTAAACAGCCTGAAATTAGCATATTTTTATTTCTTCCTTTATTATCCTATTAAACAAAGAATTCTGGAAGATTCAAATTTTAGATGTTAAGTTGGCCTTAGAAAGATACTAACATAGATTATACTATTTTTTTCTTTTTGTGCTTTTGTAGAAGAATTTCAGTGCAACAAAACTAGTCTTAAAACATCTATAAACAAGAAGAGCTCAAAAGAATCTTAAACCCATATAAGCTATGCAAATTCACAACTTAACAAGTCAAATTAATCATAAGTCCATGTATGATTATCTGCTTTCTAAATCCAAAACTATTTATATACATGGAGGACAATATAGATGGTACAATCCTTTTTTATATTTTTAACCTTACTTGTTATTGAAAATGTATTTGATCAGTTACTCAAAAGGATAACATGGGAACCAACAGAGGCTGTAGCACACTTGAAAGAATTGTGGCTGGAGGCGGAATACATTTTATTGGAAATAAACTTACTTACATAGTTTAAAAATATTTTTGTTCTTCAATATCTGGTCTAAAAATATTATCCTTTAAGAAAGTGGGATTGCCTTTTGGATTTATATGACAATTTTGAGTAATGCCAGAGATTATATAAGGGAGATTTGAAACATCCATAATGTATATGAAATTGCTTTTGCTTCTTTCTTCAATTTATTATCCAGACAAGTTTATGAAGTGATTTAAGCTGATTTACTCACAGTAAATGAAATTTCTTTATTTAAATGAGTTTACTTAATTCATATTTATGACAGCATAAAGGCCAACTACTTGATCGTACAATTTGGGCCAGGAAACAGACTTCAAATTGTTGAGAGAATCTGAACATCACTTGGTCTTCTGGTCATGACGTAAAAGGTAGTTACTCTGCATATAATTTGTTTATATAATTTAGTTTTACAATGCACCATTCACTCAGCAATATACTCTGAAAATATACAAAACTTACATAACCAAATCAGTATTGTTCAGCAGCCATCAATTATCCAAACCAGTTTAAAAGACAGCCAGTACTTCTGAAGATTGATTTTAAACTACAAATATTCTATAAAGGCCACATAAAGAAAATCAGACTTTTTTCCCAGGGAAAATATTAGAATATTAACTAATTTTGCCACCTTAATAGACATGAATATAAAGAGTTAGATCAAGACCACTGGTTGCATTTAATCCAGACTAAATTTCATAGGTCTGAAATGCAACTTAGTCTGGATCTAATCAAAAGCAAAAACTTGTAATCAAGTAATACCTGTATTTTTCTTCTCTAAAACTGAACTGGCTAAATTACTTTAAAAAAAACTATACAGTATTATTGCACTCCTTGAATGTGCAGTTCTTGGACACATACCAGCACCGAAAGAGATCTTGCATTAAGATTTTCAGAAGGTACAACATGAAGACAAGTAGATCATCCAGTCTGTACCAACAGCTTTCTGTCTTCAGTACAGACCTTCATTTATTTCATTCATGTTGCCTTTGGAAAGTATCACTTAATGTCTGAAAGCAGAATAAATCGAAACAGAACAAGTTACAAGATACCCTCATAACGTAAGTTCAAAGAAAAATATCCCAGATATCTTCTACATATATCGTTGACAAAGATATTCAATAAAAATGATTAAAAATACCCCCCAAAAGTAGGTTGTCTCGATAAGCAGACTCTACTTCAGTCCTCCCCCCCATCTTTTGGGCACCTCCCCCCCATCTTTTGGGAGTGGTTCCATGGAGGGCGGTTTTTCTGTGGACCGGGGGCATGAATTTGCGCATTGTCTGGATCTCACGCATGCAGAGACTGGTTCCTGGCAGGCCGCAGACCATTGCCGGTCCACAGCCTGGGGGTTAGGGATCCCTGCTCTACTTCACTGCTTAAATATCTTAGGTACAGAATATAGTCAGAAAAGAAAGATCTTTTAAAAAAAACTTACAAGAAGTTTTCAGTACTGATGAATGGGGCTATGATCTATGATGTGGCATTTGCTCCATATGCACATTGAGTTTCATTTCATTATCAAGGATTTGAACAAGTTGCTGCATTGAAGGAAGATGCCCGGACTCCAGCTTAGACCACACTGGGACATCTAAAAAGCATAGGGAAAAAGGTTAAATATATAAGGTGCAGGAACAGCTTTTATAGCTACCTACATTCAAAATACTTATGCAAAACCTATGGATACAAGCTTTTGAAATTAAAAAAAGTCAGGTGTCATGGTTCCAAAACCATGCTGCTAACATTGGATGTTCTTGCTTTGACATCAGGATATTCTGGTTCCTTCTAAACCAAGCAAGAATTCCACAATACTGAAAAATCCATAAAAAATATAAACATTGCAATTCTGCAAACAAAATTTACTCTCAATAAGCCTGGAAGAGACAATGCACGTGTAAAACCATCAGTATTGTTGTTCTAATTATTCTGTAATTAAGTATGTCATTCATAAATATTTGGGGGCATCAGTGAGTATCTGAAGATTACAAATTCAAATAATTACTTTTGTTAATAATTTAAAACATTAAGAATAAGAAAGTTAACATGGCTATTAATGTAAAGTTTTGAAAAAGAAAACCAATATTTATTCATGCTCTGATTTCATCTCAGTTTCTTTCTAATGTCAAACAGTAAGACATACATTCTCAGCCAACTTTAGCAGGCTCTTGAAAAAAACACATGGCCATTTTTAAAACATTAGTTCAGTACAAAATGCATACATTCTATTCCCTTATCTTACTTGGGAATTTCCAAAATGAGAAACACAAACTGTTTACTCTCTAAATTCAAATGAAATGACCTTACTAACCTATTGTTATTTTTACTGTGTTAAGATACAAATGCAATAAACAAAAAAAGTAAAATAATAAGGCCCAGTAGTGGGCCTTATTCATGATGACAAGGGCACTTACCGCAAGGAGGTTGAGGGGGTTGGTGTAAGGAAAACAGCCTAGTTTTAAATACCAGAAAAACCAAACAAATCCTTGTCGATTTCAGAAAAGGCAGGCACAGCCACGCTTCTCTGTGCATTAATGATTCACCTGTGAAGATGGTTACCAGCATCAAATTCCTGGGTGTGCAGCTAATGATTAGGCTGGCTTGGTTGCTCAACAGCGAGACACTGGTGAAGCGGGCACAGCGGCGCCTGCATTTTCTGCATCGCATGAGAAAAGCACATCTTCCTTCTCCTATCCTGACCACTTTCTACAGGGGGACGATCGAGAGCATCCTGTCATACAGCATCACAGTCTGGTTTGGAAACATCACTGCTTCAGACAGGAAGGTGGTGCAGAGTGTGGTGAGGATGGCCGAAAAGATCATTGGCAGTTCCCTCCCTCCCATCCAGGACATCACACAGAAGCGTTGCTTAAGCAGGGTCCGCAAGATTGTCTGGGACACTACACATCCTCTTCACTACACATCCTTGTTACCTTCTGGGAGGAGGCTTCGTGGTATCCGTAGCAGAACATCCAGATTCAGCCATAGTTTCATTCCATACAGCATTAACCTTGTGAACTCTCAAGCTTCCTCCTTCCATTATATTTTCAACATGGACAGTGTTTAATATTTATTTCTTACGTATATGTAGGGGTGTGGGTCTATACATATGTTGTATATAGTATGTTAGGTGTGTGTCATGTATGTGTTCACTTTGAGAGCGGGCAACTAAATTTCATTTTTGATGTGTTCCGTTGTGCCACAGTAAAAAAAAAATGACAATAAAGGTTATCTTATCTTATCTAGTTTTGTGAAAGTTTACAGCTCAGATCCAAAGAGTTTTTTTTATCTTTAGAAACCTTATGTCCGATCTTGAGTATCATATCTAGTTTATATATTGATAAAATTCTTAACAAATAAAGTGCTTTAAAATCACATTTGACTCCAACTATGTCTTATATGGATGCATAAAGTTCATTTTATGCTTAATGGAAGATAAAAAAAATTATTGAAAACTTACCATTTAAAGTTATTTCAAATGCACCTGTTGACATACACTGGTTCTCAATCATGTTGCTCAGGAAGAAAACCATCATACAAGCATATACCTAAAAAGAGCATTTATCATAGTTATTACATCACACAATATATTTAAGAATTATGTAACATATTTGTGATTTCTCTCAATTAAGTTGATAGCAATATCTGCTATGCATACTTTATTATTCTTTATTTAAGAGGTTTTATTGATTTGCTATTTTTATATTACAAAAAACATTTATATTTAGGAAAAAATATACTGATGAATAACACTGTCAACATCAAATTTTTAACAGAAACAAAACTTGATAAGTACAATATATAAATACAGTGTGTGTGTGTGTGTGTCTAACAAAAGTTCCATAAAGGCAACTTATAGTTTCACATTTAATCTGCCTATTAATATTCTGCTTCAACCCTAATAATACTTTTTCTTTGTACTAACATGTTGAGTATCTATTTGATATTATTCATCAACGATGAGATGATATAAATTTTACCAAGATGGCTCTGAAAATTTTTTAGTCAAACATTATAAGAGCACTTTAAAAATACACTTTCCTCAAAGTAAGTATATAGCTAAGGTCAAGTTATTATATTTCAACCCATTTTTCATTCAGTTACTTGTTTTAAAATGTTTCACAACTTCTAATTTTTAAGACATTAAATAGAATTTTAAACATTCTTATATCAACTAGATAGTGCTGTTTTTGTTATTATTATTTATTTAAATTTATTAGCCATCAAACTCCAATGGATTCTCCAAACTACTTGTATCAATCAAAAGAAAAAATTATTACTTGTGGCATTTAAAATATGCTGTGATAGACCAAAAGCCAGGAGTGTAGTCCTGCCTTAGGCACAAAGCCAGCTGAGTGGCATTGGGTTAGGCCAGGGGTAGGCAACCTTGGCTCTTTTATGACTCATGGACTTCAACTCCCAGAATTCCTGAGCCAGCCAAGCTGGCTCAGGAATTCTGGGAATTGAAGTCCACGAGTCATAAAAGAGCCAAGGTTGCCTACCCCTGGGTTAGTCAGTGACTCTCACAGCCCTAGGAAGAAAACAATGGCAAGCCACTTCCAAAAAATATTGCCAAGAAACAGGTCCCAAGGGTCAAGAGTCAAGACTAACACAAAGGCATATTGTATGTATGTATACCTATACACACACACACACACACATACACTACACAAAACTTACTTACAGCCAAAAAAAATCTCTTTAAGAGCCAAGAATTTTTTTCATTCCTAAATGAGATGTTTTAGTTGTATACAATGCTTACAAGGTTTTAAAGTACCTTCCATTTACAATATTATGAGTAAGAGAATGCTCATGTAATATGGTTCAATTAAGTAAACATAGTATAAAATCTGCTTCTAGCACAATTAAAAAAATAAAATGCTATTAAGAAACAGTACCTTGTTTTCTTGTCCCCACTGCCAGATACTTGGAGTTTGCATGCCAAATAAAGCAAAAGGATCCTTGCCAACAATAATGAAGCCTATTAGCACTAGTTTGAAGACTGACAAGAAAGATGCTATGTGTCTGGTAGAAAAAAAAAGTGAAGGTAATTATCAAAGTAGGATAAAACTAAATTTAACTAATCTAAAGAAACAAAAGTTATGCCATGCCAATGTGAACACCACTGGATTTTGCTTTACCATGTATTTGAAAAGCTGCACATAAAGAGCATTAACAATAGCTGAATATTATTCTTAAAAAAATGAGAGTCCCTGGTGGTCTCTGAACTTAGCTGTTTGCTTACAGATATTTTGTTACTGTTCAGACTGTTACATTATTATTATTATTATTATTATTATTATTATTATTATTATACACAGTAATTAAAACTAAGTCAGAATGCAATCAAATATTGCTTTTGAGATTTTGTAACATTACAAAACTTGATATCCCCAATCCATTCAGATAAAGCATTTAGTATATTTTAACTCAGAACTAACTTACCTATATATAGGTTGAGGAAGATAGTTTTCCCCTTCAATGCGGATGTCTGGGTACCGCTGGCTAATAACCCGCATGTACTCTTCAAACACCCGCCTGTATCCTCAGGAAACACTGCATAGAAATATTTTATAACAATTAATACTGATATAACTGAGCATTTCGTATATACCCACACACACACAGCCCTCCCCTCCATATCACTCTGATAAATTCAATGGTTTGGAAAAAGCTCTTCCCCCTAGAATTCTAAGACAGATAATTAGAAATACTGGCAGTAGCCACCTGAGAAAAAACAAGAACCAATACCAAAAAAATAGTGTTTTGGTAATTAATAGTTGCTGGAAGACCTTACTATAATACCAGTGATTTTGTATAGAAAAATGCTTGTGTGTTTTCTTCAGTATTTACTAAAATATGTATTATCTATATACCTTAGTAAAAGTAATTTCTAATACAAGTAGTCCTCAACTTATCAGGCTTACTTGTGCTGTGCGAGCTGCAGCTGCTGCTGGACACATCGGCCCCCACACCCACCCCCTTGACTTAATTTTGAGGTACAGCTTATATTAGGCACTCCCTAAAAAGTCAGGCTAGAGCTTATTATCTGGGTGAGCCTTATTTTCAGGAAAACACGGTAGCAACCATTCAAAGTTCCAACAGACTCCAATTCAAAGTTCCAACAGCTAGACTAGCCCCTGCAATCATGTCCCTGCACTCTGGGTGCTCAGCAACCAATCTGCATTTATGGCCATTTGCAGCATACCCTGCTCACATGACATTTTTGCAAGAAATCAGCGTTTACTTCCAGTTTCCAGAAAAAATACCCCTAATTAGTTTGCTTAACCATCACATTCACTTGACAACTGCTACAACAAAGATCATAAAAACAGATGTGGTCGCATGGTGACCCACCTAATAACTATTACGACTTACATCCTTATTGCAGGTTCAATTACGGTCATAACCTAAGAACTATCTATAGAAGATCAGTTTGACAAGGTTGACCATTCTTTTGCCCACATAGAGAAAAATAACAACTGCTTCCATTTAAGCACTTTTTAAAAATTATAACTCAATATTAAACAATATGAATAGAACCATTTTAATCCTAGATGTAATTGCTAAACAAATGTTTCCTAAGATGGACATTTTTGCGGTATTATTGACTTTCAGAGCTCTCTAAAGTGGTCATTCTGTCTGGGAAATTCTAAGAGTGAAAGTCCACACATTAGATCGCTAGAAAAGCATGCTTTTTCTAAGCAAGCAAGCAATTTTTTAAAAAAGATTTTATAAATGTTTTCATTTGAGTCATTAAATTGACTATATTGTAGGATTTTTTTAAATATATTCCTCTTAAACATTTTAAAAAGAAAGCATGCATAGAATGTACAGTAGGGTGAAAACTGTAAGATCTGGTTATAAGAGTGAACTAAACCAAAATATGAATATAAAATATTTTACAGGTCAGAATTGTACCACAATGTGGAAATAGATGAACAAATATAAATGGGAAACATTGATAGGCTTTTAAATTGGCCACATAATTCTATTTCCTGATTTAAAAGATTATTAAAGCTGTTGACTGTGTTGCATAGATTCTCATTCTAATTGGATCTTCCAAAGTATTATCAATCTAAATTACCAGAGCTAACCTTCCAGACTATGCATATACGAACATCCAGGTATTTGAATAACTTGAATACAAACCAAGTTCTTTTACACTCAGTTTGATTAAACAGTCAAGCTCAATTAGCTTTTCTCATGTTAAAATGATTCCTCACATTTTAGGGGATTTCCCCATTTAACTTCTACCCTTGATGTACATTTGGAGTCTAATCTCTTGAAATTTAAAGGTTTCTTTCCACATGACCTTTATGAAGCCAGAAAACCTTTCTCATTATTTGATATAGATTTAGACTGAAATTGTAGAAATGTTTCCCTTGATTATATTCTATTGGAAAATGACTAATTCTGATATTATATGGTTTTATTGTGATATTAAATGTTTACACTGTACTTTTATTTACCATATACACATTTTATAAAACTATCACTAACTCTAATTCCATCCAGTATGCTTTGACCTTTAAATATTAGCAAAAATGAATAGAATAGAATATAGTAGCAATTAAACAAGATTTTTTTCTGCAATAACATTTGGAACATAAAAGTATTACTTTGTTGCTTCCATATTGTTTCACATTACAATTTGTTACAAAGCATTTCAGTAACCAGTTTCTATATTATATTTGAATGTACAATAATCCTGTAGTACCCTGATGAGAAACAATAGGAAAAATCAGAAATAACAGCAGCTTTGGTAGCAAACCAGTCTCTTTGATCCAATAATTAGCATAAAACAAAAAATCCATTTGTTATATTCATCTGCTCAAATGATTCCTTCTGAAAGTTTTTTTTTTCATTTTCCAAGTGTTTTATTAATTTTCCAATATTACATTTACATATTTGAAAAGTAGCGTGGCGGCTGAGCACAGTAATTCCATTACATTTGAATATCATCAGTACAAATCTCAAAGTATTACAACAACTAATTCCCTCTCTTTCCCCCATAATATCTACTGTCATATTCGAACCAATACATTTCTTATTCTACCAATCAAAAAGAAAACTTTCTAGTATTCATCAATGATCTTCAGTCTATACATATCTTAATTAATTTGACATTCCATCTTTTAGATAATAACCTAGTAAGTTTTTCTTAACTTTAATTTCCCATTGATATTTAAATTTAACGTTTAATCTTTATCATTTCCAGATTTTAAATGATCCCAATTTCTAAGTCTCCTATCTCATATTTGGGGCTAATAATTTTTTTCTTTTCTTCCTTCTACTTCCTTTCTTCCTTTCCAGAAAAACAAAAAAATAGGGGGAAAAAATAAACCACCAGCATTTGTACCACAAACCCATATACAAATTTAATTATTAGCATTTATACTTCTAAGTTTTACTTAATCTTTGTCTCAACTCATAACAATATCTTAAATTCAAATCTTAGTTATTTGTAAACATTCAAACTTTTAGCCAATCAGTGACCTGATAGTTAATTTTCCCTTAATATTTTAATATAACGTTTAATATTTATTTTTTTCCAAATTTTTAATTAAACACAATTCATTTATCGCAATTCCTTATGCAATCTAATATTTAAAACACACCCCTTATATATAAATTCTACCATCTATCTTGTGTTGTTTGTCCATCGATTTCGATGAAGACCTTGACATCTTGTGGATTGTGGGCCATCAACGTTGTGTCCGTAGATGGCTGATTAGACCGATGTTAGCACGGAATGTTCTGCCACATACTGAACAGAGAAATGTGGACACTGTTGCTTCAGCATTTGCAGCTCTGGCTTTACGGAGGCGTACCCTGGTTTACCAGGGGTGCCAGACATATGAACACAGGAGGACACCATCTATCTTAACAAACTAATAAAACAGTATAGTATTCTTATTTCAAAATTTATATTTCTAGGTTTTATATGACGAAAATTTTCTTTATCTCAAATCGTTACACTATCTTGTGTTCAGAATACATCGAACTGGAAAAACAAACAGACGACCTGCTAAATCAGCTAGTCCTCTTAAGAAAACATTAACTGGAACAACAAACATTAGCCACAATAATACAAAATGATCTTTTTGATGACTTAAAAGCAAAGATACGAAAAATGACCTGGCAGAGAAAAAAAGCTAGAATAAGATTGAAAAAGATTGGGGTTTTGATCTACACATGAGATCTAAAATAGAATATATCTAAATGGATAGAATAGGTATCCTTCTGAAAGTTTTAATCATACACTAGGGATATTGTGATCATGCAGCCAGGTTCAAGAACTAGGTAGATACCGTCATTTCAAACAGTGTTCTGGAAGCCACGTTTGAGTTCAAAAAGAAATTTTAGTTAATTTAGTTAATTTAGTATTGGAGTGTTGTGCTTCTATTTCTTTGTTTTTCATTTGATTCCTTGCCAAATACCATACTGAATTTCATAATATTGAAAGACAGTTTTCTGCTTTATAATTGCTCTCATGGTGATTAACCTTTTTCAACAAATAAATTTTAATAAAATTAATTTTAACCAGAATGCAGAAACTTTAGTGTTGGGAAAACCTAATTTACACTACTGCCCCTGAGCTTAATGACTGAGGAATTGCATATAACATTATATATTTATAAACTTTATTAAATGACTGTTTTAAAAATAAAAACTTGAAAAGACTAATGTGAAATTGGTTTTTAAAATTATCACCCGTTTTCCCACTTTAATCCCTATGTGTTCTCTTATGCTGATGCAACATTGGTTCATCAGAGACATAACAATGCTTGTTTAAAAATAGTAAAAAATAGACACAAATATTCTTAATTCTAAAAGCTTCATAGGACAAACAGTATTTACAATGAAAAAAGAAAAGATAAATAATTAAGGCCAAAAATCACAAGATATTTAGGGCAGAACAAAAGCTGAAATATCCTCAAATTTAAAAATCACAATTACCTTTAATTAATCAAATTTAAGTGGAAATCTAGCTTGTTTAGTTTCAAACTTGTAATGCATAATATTGAAATCTCATTTCCAAAAATATACACATATATATGTTGTCAGAACTTGAAATTTTAAAAGATAAACTGTCAGTCCATGTTCACCTTTAACAATGATAAAAATTGTGCTAATTTTAGAAATGTTTTGCTAAAACCCATTGCTAAAAAATTGAATGTTCATAGAATAGGGCCAAGGAACATTTAATCCAGCAATATCTAGAGAATTATATGTCCAACACCCATCACAATTGGCTCTCCTGGCTCACGGTTTTCAAAGCTGCAGTTTAGCAAATCTAGGCAGCCTCTGGTATCCAATTCCAGGAAAAACACTACATATAAATGAAATGAAATGGAATTAAATTTTAAGTATGTTTACTGACAAGAGTTCTCAGCCAGCTTCTTAAGAATTATTCAATTGCTGTGTCAATTGTATGCATACAAACTCAGGAATAAGCTCCAAGAGTCTGTACCACCTACAGCAGGGGTGTCAAACTCATGTCATGTGACGTATTGCAACATATCGTGACTTTTTTGCCATTGCCGACAATGGGGTGGGCGCGGTTTCGCTATGATGAATCCGGCCCGCAGGCTGGCAGTTTGACACCCCTGGCCTACAGATTTACTTTTACAGTTAGTGTTCCCTTAACGAACAACCAATCTTATGACAGATATAAGGATAAAAACTGATTTGAATAACCTGTATTTTATTGCCTCACTCCTAATAGTCTGTTCCTTTATACTGATTTAGTTACTGAGCAAGGATTAAGGTAACTTGTCCTGTCTTTTATAAATTTGGGGGGAGGGGTGGCAGCTAGGAAAATAGATAAAATAGATAAAAAGATGAGCAGAACCACCTACAAACTTTTCTACTATCCCAAGTTAACTGCTTTTTTCATTGTAAACACACACGTTACCAAATCAAAGACAATTTCTAAATTCCTACATTTCCCCATCCCCACTCGAATCAAAGAAATCCACTTAGTATGTAATCATACTGCAGGCCTTTCTGCACTACCAAGTTATATTAGTCATCTACCTTCAAGGTGGATGAAAATTATGCTGGTATAATTTTGCTCTCCCACTGCCAAATCCTATCCTGCTCTATTGCCAGTGCCCGGAGTAACCTCCAACAAAAGGGGTAACAAAATTTAACAATCTGACACCTTATATACACCTTGAAGATATCCTTGGACAGCATCAGAATAAGTGGGAAATACTATTTTAATGTAAAATTGTCATATGTGTGCTAAGGTAAAGATGGTGAGCAATATAAAACAAAAAAGTTTTAAAGAATAAAGTCTACTCCAGACATGTCAAACACAAGGCCCGGGGGCCGGATGCGGCCCACGATGTGGTTTCATGTGGCCCGTGAAGCCATCCTGGAAGGCATTGCACAGGTAACGTCGACTCTCACGTTGCTCATGGCATCCCCTCTCCCAAAGCCCACCAAGCCAGATATGTGAAGTAGGTGAGGGCCATGTGCTGGCCACTTCTAGGCGATGGTGCATTTCTTCATTCCTCACGAAGGGTGACACCTTTCCAGCTGTGTTTCTTGCCTGTTTTTCTCCCTCCCTCATTTCAAATATTTTCCTACCACTCTGTGGAAGGAAGGAAGGAAGGAAGGAAGGAAGGAAGGAAGGAAGGAAGGAAGGAAGGAAGGAAGGAAGGAAGGAAGGAAGGAGGGAGGGAGGGAGGGAGGGAGGGAGGGGGAGGGTCTGAGGGAAGTCCTGCCTTAGTCCTGCCCTGCTGCCCTTTCACCATCCCCTTGCCCCCTCCTCCTGGCCTATCCTGGGGGTCTCCCATCCTATTGCTAAGGAAGCTTTGGATACAAAGCCGGGTCTCCTCCCATGGAGAGGGAATCGGCCTCCCTCTGACTTTACCCTCATATCCATCATGAGCAACCTGGCTAAGGAGAGCAAGCACAGCAGCAGCAGCCTTGAGGAGGAAGTAAGTGCAGCTGGGCACCCACTTGGGGTAGTGGGGCTGGGCTTGGTGCCGCGGGTGCTTGAGGGCCGGGCTGGGCGTTTGACCTCTGCTGCCCAGGGCTCCGGGAAGCCCGCGGCACCATCCAGCCCCCCCTCGCATGGCCTGAGAGGAACAGTGAGGCTCTTCCAGTGGACCATGCCTTGGCGCTTGCCCCAGTTCCACCCCCTTCTGCCAGAGACCCTCAGATCTGTCCCACTCCTGCTCAGGCCCCCACAGGCACCCTTGACGCGAACAATGAAGAGCTGGCCATGCCCACCCAGTAGGCCACACCCACTTCAGCCATGCCCACCATGGCCACACTTACCTGGCCCCCCGAGGACAACGTAATGCTGATGTGGCCCTCAATGAAATTGAGTTTGACACCCCTGGTCTACTCTATACTAATGAACACCTTCCAGCTCTACATATTACAGGGAATCCTCAATTTACGACCACAATTGAGCCCAAAATTTATGTTCCTAAGCAAGACAGTTGAGTTTTTGCTCCATTTTATGACCTTTCTTTCCACAGTTGTTAAGTGAATCACTGTGGTTGTTAAATTTACTCACATGGTTGTTAAGCGAATTAACTTTGCTTGTCAGAATGGCGCAAAAGGAGATCACATGACCTCCGGACACTGCAACCATTCTAAATACATTCCAGTTGTCAAGTCGCTGAACTTTGATCGCGTGACCATTGGGACACTGCAACAATTTGCTTTGCCAACAATTCTGGGGAGGGGGGGGAGAAGAGAGAGAAAGGCAAAGGTTCTAGAACAGTGTTTCTCAACCTTGACCATTTTAAGGCATGTGGACTTCAACTCCCAGAATTCCACAGCCAGCATTGCTGGCTGTGGAATTCTGGGAGTTGAAGTCCACATGCCTTAAAATGGTCAAGGTTGAGAAACACTGTTCTAGTACTTCCTAACCAGTACTGCATTTTTCTAGCCTCACAACTGCCTGTATCTCCACTCTACCCTGCCTACTCAGACTACCTCCTTGCCGCTATTCTTAATATCAGTTGCAACCCAACACCGGAACGAGCAAGCCCCAGCCGGTTTCCCAGAAAAAGAGCCCAACCTGCAGAGCCATCCAGAGCTTTGCATGCCGGTCATCGCCGCCTCCACTTCTCTCTCGGGCGCCACTCTCTCTCCACCGCCTTTTCCCGCAGCCTGCAGAGCTTCAGGATCGGCCCCCACCCCCACCCCACCCGGCACTTCCACTTGGGTTGGTTCCCAGTCGTGACATCTCTTGCCGCTTCCACACCAGCCCCGCCCGCCCTTTGCCCCACGATCCTCCGCCGCCGCCGCCGCCGCCGCCGCCGCCGCCGCCTCCTTAACTCAGATAGCACGGAAATGAAGAAGCGCCGCCGCCGGCCCGGCCTTCGGCACGAGGCTAAACTTGGCTCCGGTTCAGGATCGGGAAGCAGCGGGCGACGCAACAGGCCGCGCACTCACCAGATCTGGAACTTGAGCAACGGCCCCGTGGCGTAGGCCATGCGTAGTTTCTTCCCAGGCGGCAGACCGCCCGGCTGAGCCCCAGCGCCGCTCAACCCTACCGCCAGCAGCAACAGCAGCGCCAGGATCGGCTTCATCTTGCTCCCGCTGCCCTCTGGAGCCAGAATGCTCCCCGCCCCCTGGGCCCGGCCGTGCAAAGCTTCTGCCGCCCGCTCAGCCGAAAGCGGTCAGGTCACGCGAGCCGGCGTCGTAATGCGCCTGCGCCGGACTGTACCTATCGCGAGCCCAAAGGAAAAGGCTGCTCCAACCGCCGGCGCCGCCCTCCCCCCTCCTCCTCCCTCCTGCTCCCCCTCCTTTAGGAGCGGGGAATGAACAACCAGGCACTAGTATCCGTTAGGGATGCTTTTAGGACAGTGTTTCTCAACCTTGACCATTTTAAGGCATGTGGACTTCAACTCCCAGAATTCCACAGCCAGCATTGCTGGCTGTGGAATTCTGGGAGTTGAAGTCCACATGCCTTAAAATGGTCAAGGTTGAGAAACACTGTTTTAGGAGCTCTTCGCCTTCGCCTGGGGGCCGTCGAAACACGCGGTGCAGGATGACCCTTTGCTGAAATTCTTGTGGAAAACGAAAGAACTCTTACGAATTCCAGAGGGGTTTAGCCAGAGAAGTTTATTTGGGCAAGGTTCAGAGCATATTAGAGATAGGCAATTCTGAACGAGGAGGGCGGGATTAGACTTCAGTTTTTATACTCCCCTCCTTAAAGAACAAAGGGCTACGCATTGAAATACACACTGTGATACATTGGGAGCGTTTCTCACAGGCATACAATGGAAGGTTTTGCTACATACAAAGTATCCATGTGCAAAGCGCATTTGGTTGCCACATATTACTGACAGAGAACTTTCCCAGTGAATTTTCCCAGTGATTATGCATTACATCATTATTCTAGCAATTATGCAGACACATCATTATTGCAGTTATGCAGACACATCATTATTCTAATAATTGTTCAATTTACTACATTATAATTACCACAGAAATGAATGCCACCGTGTCGGCCTCAGATATAGTATTGTGACAGTAGTTGTGTACAAAACCTGAGGTGTCATTCATAACTACTTTGCGCGTTTGAGGTCAACTTCACTCTGGGAGGGCGAGATGGAAGAGCCATCTGCCGTGAGGTGCAGAGACGCTTGAACTATCCATAGGCAAACGGTTGAGGGCTTCAGGTATGTTTGAAATGTGGAATCGTATTGTGGGTATTCTCATAAGATGATTGCTGTGAGAGATTTTGCAATGGTAAACCTGGGCTGTCAAAAAACATCTTGGCCGAATATGACCAAGCACAATGTTCTTTACAGTCCCAACTTTTCTTGTACGTGTGTAATAAAGTCCTCCCTCCCGGAAAAAAAAAAACCCTGGGAGTTTTCACTTATTTTTTTTTGAAAATGTGGGGTGCAGAGGCTTATTGGAAATAAACTCTACACAACAAACTGTTGCCTGGAATTTTAGGCTTCATTATTAGCATTTAAAAAAAGATAATATTAGTATTTTGGCATGACATCCATGCCACCTTTTAAAATTCAGGAAACCATGTTTTCCTTATGGCCCAAACCATTTCTTTTATGGGAAATAACTAGTCTTTTCAGCAACTAAGCAATAGAGGGAGCTTATTCTGGAAGTCCTTGGCTTGAACAAACTTGCAAGTTTTAAGAAAGATACAAGGACAACTGGAAAAAAGGAATTCTAACCCATAATTTGCCACTTATAGAATCAATATTTTTCATTGTTCAATTCTCATATTTCATCAATGTCTGATCAATTGCTTTGTGACATATCATATATACCAGTGATGGCAAACCTTTTAGAGACTGAGTACCCAAACCGCAACCCAAAACCCACTTATTTATCGCAAAGTGCCAGGACTGCATCAGCATTGTGGTGCCCTGGGGAGGGAGCAGGGAGGCGCCTCTGAGTGCCATCTCTGACACCCAAAAACTGGTGGTGCAAAAAGGCCACCACGCTGTAAGGTGTAAAAACGGCAGCCGCCACGCCATGGGGTGCAGATACAAGGCACTGCACCACGCAAGAATGGGGCAGGGCTAGTGAGTATCACGCAGGCACTAGCCCTGCCCCATTTGCAGCATGTGCGTGCTCGCAGCCCCATGCATGCATGCACACATGTAAAATGCTTCCCCCTCCCTTTTCTTCCAGTCCATCAATTGACAATGGTTGGTGACCTCTGCTCTACCACCTCTACTCGAGCTTCCTAGTCGGCCGCTTTGCCTCCTTTGTGCTGGGCGGGGCTCCTGCTCCGGGCGGTGGTGGCAGCCTGATGGACCTGCTGCTGGCGGTGGTGACGTGCATGCCAACAGAGAGGGCTCTGAGTTCTGCCTCTGGCACGCATGCCATAGGTTCGCCACCACTGATATATACTGATTGTATCATTTATTTCTGTATCCTATATTTGTACCCTACATAAAGACTTGATCTCCCTTAATAAATGTTTTTTTGCTTTTCTTGAATTACTTGATGATTCATATCTTTGGGTGGGTAAAAAAGTCCCTTTGCAAAGGTAAAACTGATTTTCTCTCCCAAATTAAAGGAACAGGTCTTCAGCTGCACACCAACTTGGGGTATCTGAATTTCAAGGCAACAAAACTAGCACTTTTTTTAAAAAACCTGTCAGTTTCCAATTTTATTTTATTTAAAATAATATTTTGGGCAGAGAAATTAATAGCTGCCACATTTTCCCCTTCAACATTTTAATCACTGAAGATTGCTTAGAAACAGAACTATATATGCTAAGATTGTCATGGCTGACATAATACTATTTCTAAAGATGAAAGTATTATTCTGTCTTCCAAAACTTGAGAGTTAAGGCTTGGTGAAATTTGATATTCTTCTGCAGAATTATGCTACCAAAGAATCCCTGACTTGAAAGAGAATGGTTCCTTCTGTTTTTAAATTACTGAAAGTAGTTACATATGCACCGTATATGTAAAACCTATAGCAAGACTGACAGTACATTTAGGCGCCTTAGGTCAGCCATTTTAATTTGAGACATAACATAAATTCTACCAAGTTCTTACCAGCATTATTTCTAATACAAAAGAGTAAAACAATTCTTCTCTGAACAAAATATGGAGCCAGGTCAATTCTCTTCTGACAGAAAAGAATATTTCTTCTGGATACAGGCAGAGGGAACATGCTGCTTTCTTTTATTTCCATATGAATGATTTCTTATCAAAAGGTAAGGTTGGACTATTGTTCATCTTTTAAGGATATTGTTATTTCAATATGTATGTTAGACCAAATAATGGCTAATATTGTGGATATCAACAATGTATCTTGTTTTATTTTAGAAAGTGCAGTTTGTAGGGTTTACCTGCACAACTTACACAAAAAAAACTATTGAAAGATACTCCTGAGCTTAGACATCTGCCTGCCACACGGAGGACTAAAAATATTTTTTTCAAAATAGCTGAAGTTTTGATTAGCATCACAGGTACATTTTTTTTAGATGAAATTCTGTTACAACTCTAATGTTGCAATCTGCTAGTTATCCTGATCTCTACAGCCCTAAAACATAGGCTGTGCTACAATGTACTAGCAGATGCCTTTTTTCCTCAGAAAGAATTCTAGATTTTTTTAAAGCACATTTCTCTAGAAGATCTCAGTTATAAGAAAAATATTCTTATTGTGATCTTCTGGATTCATCATAAGTAATGCAATCGCATAATTAGTCTCCAAGGAATCCTGCTTCAAAAATAATTATCCTCCTGGGTGTCACTCCAAGATACCAGTCTGTTATTAAACATAAATATAAGAATAAGCAATGATGACATCAAACTGTCCACATTGTACTTTTGAATCACAATTTTCCTTACATATCATTTCTTGTTGGAACTTGGAATGTAGTAAAAGCACCCAAAGAAATGGACCTCACATGCAGGAAAATGGAGATGTTTATCTATCCACTGAGCTCTGCAAATGGGGAAAATGAAAATAGAAAAGAGTTGTGTGGCTAATAAATTCAAATACGTAAATAAAGGTAGGCTGCATTGGCACAATATGGGCTAATCATTTTATAATGGAGAATATGTGCAAGGATGATTTTTTCAGCCCATTCATTTTCTCTCTGTCAGTTCAAAGGACCCTCAATAAAAGCTGGTGTTTGCAATATTTTTCATCAGAATTTTTTTTTAAAAAAACAGTATGGTAAGCCTTCTAACCACAGGTAATCCTTGACTTGCAATTGGTCACTTTGCAACCATTCAAAGTTATAATAGACCTCCCCAGAATTATTAACAACCTCAAATTAACAAGTTTTGAAGTTCCAACAGTCAACCCCCATGGGCACCTGATCACATTTTGGATGCTTGGTAATCAGCCCACATTTACATCTGTTTGCAGTGTCCCACAATTATGTGACCATGGTTTTCAGAATTTTTTGCCAGAAGGTGGCATTAACTAAAATGGGTTTACATTCACTTAATAACCAGTGCAATCATTTAACAACCACCACAGAAAAGATCATAAAATTGTGTGTAGCCATGTAGTGATCCACCTAACGACCACCATGACTTAAAACTGTAATTCCAGCTCAGTTACAGTCATAGGTCAAGGAATAACTGACTAACCTTAAATAGGTTCAGGAGCTAGGTAGAAATTCCTATATAGAGGATTAATTAAATTCCACAAAGGATTATATTATATTATATTATATTATATTATTAATATTAAAAGTCTCGTGGAATTTATAAGACAAAGGAAAATACAAAGTTTTGAAAAGTACATAGAATTCTTATTCCTACAAATTACTATGTTCGATGCAATTTTAAATATATTTTCTCAGAAAACCTTTCGATAAGTTAGAATTCCTTCTATTGCTGATCATAATTATCTTTTTCTGCTTTTTTCTGCCTTTTTCTGCTTTGTGAATAGATGGCCTTATTGCTTTATGCCAGTGGTTCTCAACCTTTTTAATGCCGCGACCCCAACCGGTCGTAAGTCGAGGACTAAACCGGTCGTAAGTCGAGGACTAAACCGGTCGTAAGTCAAGGACTAAACCGGTCATAAGTCGAGGACTACCCAACCGGTTGTAAGTCGAGGACTTTCCCTGCCCAGGAGTGCCACGCATGCGTGGTTCCGCCCCCTGCGCCGGCCGAGGCGTAGCTGGCAAGCGGCAGAGACGGAGCAGGCCGACCACCAGCTGGCCCAGC